TACAGGACCTTCAAATAATCCAAACAATATATGGGAAATATTATAACTCCCAACTTGCTAGATATCTGATATACTGAGCTTGTGTTCCCCAAAATCAAAGATTGAATTCTAAGGAACAATGAAGGTTAAGAGTAAGAAATATTTATTGAGAGAAAGATAGCTTCAGTCTAAGACAGATGCAAAGGGACCCAGAAAATGGGCTGCTATGGACCTCATTTCTTAGGGGAAAGTTTATAGAGCAAAATCACAAGGTGGGTACAAAATCATGAGGTGGGTATATGGTGGGACAAAATTATTATCAACCAATAAGGTTACAAGTATAGTCACTTAGGTAATATTGACCGATGGGAAAGCAGGTCACGTAGCAAGTGTGCATGTAAAGATCAAAGACTTTTCCTGGAAGGGATGAGTGAAGGTCCTGGTTCCCCACTCAGGTGATTGATGCCTACAGTATTTATAATATGGATCATTATTGTTTATCCCTAGGGGAAGCATGTAGGTGTAGTAATTCCATCTTTGTCTTGAGGCTTGGCCTTCAATGAATGCACCTCCACCCACAGTTGTGATGTATACTCATCTTCACTGACTCCTTCCAGGTCCTAATCCATAATATTTACCTAGCCCATAATATTTTTACCTAACATAACTGTCTATAAAATTATGATGCACTTCAATTTAAAAAGAAATTAGTTTAAACTAATAAACAATTGCCGTTAATCCCTCAGGATCCTTCCCTTTCACTTCAAGCATGCTTATCCCACTGCTCCTGTCACTTTCTGAAGCAGTTCTGGAAGTCCTCTTGTGAGTGTTTTTATGAGGTGTGATAAAAACTACAGTGAATGCTGCTGCCAGATACTAATGGAAAGTTAGGCTTGTAAAATATTACAGTGTGTCCTCCTCTGCCTTACTTACCGAATCTGGTACCATGAAACATCTGGCTCTCTCCCAAAGTCAAAATGACCTTGAAAAGTAAATGTTTTGAATTGATTCAGGACATGGAGGTATCCATGACAGTGAAACTAGAGACATTCGCAAAAGAGGGCTTCCAAAACTACTTCAGATTGGGACAAGAATGCTAGAGTAAACGTCTGCAAAGCAAAGGAGATATTTTTAGGGGGAATTAACCACAAAGCTTCATTTACTGTGAAAAGTATTACAATTTAAGCATTCACCATACTTTTTAACCACACCTCTCTCAGGCCACTTTCATGTGTAGTTTTTGTTTTTTCCTGTTTAACTTCTATTTCTTCTAACTCTTGCTAACTTACTGCTGATAAAAAATACTAGATCTCTTATGTTCCCTTTCTCTTTGAAGAAAATCATTGTGATCCCCAATGTGTCCCATAACCTGATGATCCCCCTTAACTGAGAAGAGATGCTACATTTAATTATGAAGAAAAGGGTGGTAGCAAATCAGTGATGTTAGACTCTGAGGCTTTGCAAATATGCAGGAACTCTTTTTTGAATCTCCATTTAAAAAAGATTTCTGTACATTTTTATATGATTCCTCCAAAGTATCTAGTCAAGATGTACAAATGTATCATTTTGTATTGTTTATTGCAAAAAATATTGTCCGTGCTTTTTTCTTTGTATGAGTGACTTTCTTGGGTAGACTGAGTATTCTGATTTCCAACTGAATAACTTTGACACAGATCTTTGAAAGTGAATGCATTTATAAAATGAAGGCATCTCAAATAAGATAAACTAGTTCAAAATGCATAAAATAAGTCATGCCTATTGTATAAATTGAAAGAAGAGAGATAGGAGTGGTGACAGACAGTTACAAGTTTAAGGTAACTTTTTGCACAGGAAGTAAAACTTTACCTGGGCTCCAGAAAACGTTGTGGTAGGGGGCAGTTGAGACAGTAACTCAAGTTGGGTAAAGAATGTGGGCAAAGATAAATTTGGTAGAAATGGAGACTTTTTATGAAGGAGAGGGGAAGATATGTAAAAAATCAGGATTGGGCTATTTTGTGGGTGTTTGAAAATGTCACATTCAGTATCTTAGTAGATTTTCTTCCATGAATAATGGGAAGCTACTGAAATTTTTGAAGGATTATAATGCATGTGACAGAAATGTGTTTTAAAATTGCCCTCCCTGGTGACTTTAGAAGGCAAAGAGACTAAATAGGAGCTCACTTATGATGACATGGTTGGGAGATGCCAAAGACCTGGAATAATGTGGTGGGAGAACTATGGTAAAGCTTCAAACACAGCACAACATAATCTTGATGTAATAAAGAAGGTGAAGAAAGACAATACATCAGAAATGGTTAGGCTTCCAGCTGGGTGACTGGGAAAGTAAAAGATATTGCAATAACAGAAACAGGAAAGGCAGAAGGGAAAATGGTTTGGATAGATGGGAAGAAGAAAAGAAATGGTAAGTGCCTGCAGTTCAGCGCTGTCAAAATAAATTTAATATAAACCACATATGTCATTTGACATTGAATAGCAACCACCTTCAAAAGAATAAATTTTAGAAGTATGCTTAACAGTACTTCACCCTAATATATTCAAGATACTATAATTTCAACATATAGTCAATACAAAACGTATTAATGAGATGGCTTACGTTCATTTTTTCACACTAAATCTTTGAAAGCTGGTACATATTTTACATTTATACACATCCCTTTTAGCTACATTTCAGGTGCCCATGAGCTGTGTGTGCCTGGTAGCTAACATACTGCACAGCACATTCCTTTTACTACTTAATAGACTGATAAAAATTGTTTAGTACATTTCTTATCTAAGCTCATGTTAAGACTCACTGGATTTTGGAAATTATAATTCTTTATATACTTCTCCTCTTTACTCCTTTTAAAATTTTAGCTATTTCAGAGTCAAGTTTTTTTTCTAGCACATCATCATTCTTTTTCAAAATCACCATGATTTTTAAAAACATCCATGATATATTATTTTATTGGTTGGAGTTGCTGCTGCTTCAGTGAAGTCTCTGACTTACAACTGTAATTAAACAAATCAGCCTGGATATTTTTTCTTCTTCCTTAGTCAGGCATAAAAACTTGGGATTATGAAATAATTTAGCAATGTGTCCTCAAAAACTTTGGATAAATAGCACTGAGTAGTGGGGAAATGAACACAATGCTTTCATGTTCCCCCATCCGCGTGTGTGTGTGTGCTTCTCTCCAGTGTTTAATATCTGATGTAAGCTTGCTGGAGTTTCGGTCTTCAGTATATGCTGAAGAATGTAGCACAAAAGGAAGTCTACTTCTATAGAAAATAAGCCAAGAACATTGTGTTCCATCTTTACAATGAAATGCAGATTTCCCATTAAAAGGCAAATCCTTCATTTCAAGAGGTTGAATAGGATGGTGCGTTAAAAAACCACAGCTGCTTAAATTTAGGGCATTGAAAGGCTTCCAATAAAAAAATGTTCCTTGGGTCTCCAGCATTTTCATTTGATTATGTATTGGACAGGTTTTCATTCAGTCTAGAATCTGGCCCCTTAGACTCCTGTCTTAAAATAGTTTGACAAGGAAATGTTTTTAAGTAAGTTGGAATCCACTGTGGTACTTCATTTACTTAAATTATATATTTTGCTAGTTAGAACGCATTTATGAATAAATTATTAACATTTTACAGGAAATATTGGGATTTTCTTATAGTGTTTTGCGTTCTCATGTTTCCCCTGTGCTCCCTCTGCTCCTTCTTAAGACTGTCGGCCAGCATGGCCATTTTGTTCTCCAACCAGCTTTCTCCAACCGGAAGGAAAATTTTCCAACTGGAAGGAAGTTATCTGCTTTACTCTACCTTATTTTTGTAGAGTGCCACCTTTTTGCTGATCTACTCTGCTCTGCCTGACTTTTCCCGGACTAATTTAGGAGTAAGAAATCACAAGCTCAGCGATATTCCCTGCAGTACAAATAGTACCTACGCCGCTGGCTTGGGAGCACATAAGAATTCTGCTCCAGGGTACTGGGCCTCAGTCACAAATTCTCAAGGAGGTGCCCTCTGTGCTTCAGGATCAACAAAGCTCGTGCTAGACATATTTGTGTGATGCACATACCTCTCATAAGCATTAATAGTTATTTAATAAATGTTCTCCTGTGATCAGGGTCTTTCTCATAGAGAGGATCACTGTTTCATAAGTGCTTTGCTAACATGCCCTTGATAGTAGGTATTTACTAGGTTTATTTAGCAGAGTGTTGGGCTTGCTCCTATTGCAATGGTTGTTAGGCATTTATACATGTAATGCTATTATTGCTCCTGGGCCAGTTCCTAAAAGTAAATGTTACCGGGGAGTCTATGGCGTTCCATATGCTCCACTAATGCCATTTTGGTCCCATTTGCAGACCTTACCTCTCCGATGTCCAACCTGAAGAATTGTTCATTTTAAAAGAGAACTTGTTCTAGTTGCTACTGGTGTACTTCTAATAGGCTCTTTTTTCTCCCAAAGAGCTCAATAGTTCTATGAAATTGATGCAATGATAATTTTTCTAGACTTATTATATTCTCGACCTAAACAAGGGAAATATTTTCTGTGCTTTATCACAATCTATGGGGGGCATTTTATACTGGGGTCCTTGTGCCTCCACTCCTCTGCCAACACTGGCTATCAAAACTGCTTAGGCTGCAAATAAAACACGAAATGCAAGCCATCTGGCGTTTCTCATTGAATTAGAACCAGAACATTTTTGTTAAATATTAACAGATGGCTAAATTCTTAATATCAAACTAACATTTAAAAACATCTAAGGGGACCCACACGAGGGGGAAAGGGTAGAGGACCATGTGTTTTCTCCATCTCTGAGCCCTTCCTGTATATTTCCCTCTCCCACCCCCAATTTTCCAATTCATGTATTGAGAATCACTGGAGTCTCCTATATACGATAGCTTTTATTCCTGGTGGTAGCTGATTTCAAAATAGTGTTTTGTTGGTATCCAGATGGTATTATCAGGTGTTAGCCAAAGCTGGTAATGTGGTGCCACTGGCATATTTGAAGATCTTAAATTCCTTTTTCTCTGTCTTATAATAGGAAAAAGAAAAGAAGTACATGCTTCCCTTGGACAACCTCAAAGTTCGGGATGTAGAAAAGAGCTTTATGTCTAGCAAACACATATTTGCCCTCTTTAACACAGAGCAAAGGTAAGAGAATGAAGCGACTCTGTATTTATATTTTTTCCTTGAATTTCTACCAGAAATCTGATCCAGAGATGAGATTTGCAAATAGTTCCTTGTTTGCACCTTGAATTTTGCCAGCTTTTTGTTTGTATTTTCATTTATTTTGTATTTTTAACCTCCACCATGGGCTATGGCTTCAAAAGATTAAAATAGCATAGGAAAGATGGTCAATTAATTTCCTGGTTTTCTAACAGGCACAAAAATTATGCTGCACCTGTTTCTAAAACTACATTTTATTGCCTTAAAGCCTTCCGCATCCTTCTGTACACATTTATATATTTCTCAGTGATTATTGTCATTGTAATAGCACCTGTCTAACATGAATGAGTGTCCCTTTAGGTTATGACTAAATTCAATAAATAGAATCATTCTGTTAAGGTGAATAAAAATATCCAAGACTTTAGTTTATCAAAGCATCATTCACATTCTTTTTTTTTATTTTTATAACAAGTTCCCATGAGGTTAAAAAGGCAGAATGATAATAGCTAAGTCTTTGAAGGGGTCTGTATGCCTATCATATGAATGGATAAAGAAAATGTGGTATTTATACACCATGGAATACTACTCTGCCATAAAAAGGTAAACGAGTCATTTGAGGGAAAATGGATGCCCCTTGACACCATAATGTTGAATAAATTAAATTAGACACAAAAGCTTAAATATCACATGGTTTCTCTTATGAGAAACTCAGAGTAAAAATAAAGAGCAAAATAAAAGATAACTAATAGGAAGTAGGGAGATAGATCCTTCTCAAAGGGGAAGGGGATCATGGGATGGAAGGTGGGAAGGGAAGGGGATGGAAAAAGGAATTAAGATGTATTCTGTATATGTACCAATGCCACACAAGGAATGAAAACATTAGGCACTGCAGACATATACTAATAAAAATAAATAAGAAGGCAGAGTGGTGTGCTTGCCATTTAATAAATTAGAACATGTAAGCACAGAGAACTTCGCTGACTTTCCTAAGACCACGGCACTACTACGTAGGGCAGCTGGAACTCAAATCAGAACTTGTCTAACTGTACTTCTCCTTCTACTCACGTTTCCTCTGTCTCTTTTGTTGGTCATTACAATGTCAAAGCCATACCTTGGGCTGATCATCACAGAATACAATGGTTGTCTACTAAAACTACTCAATAAAGTTATTTAAGTGGAAAAGTAACAAGGTATAAGACAGAGACATGTCCATGGATTACAACTAGACAAAGTGATAAAGGCAATTTTTTTTCCCAAGTGGATATGTTACAGGAAAAACCCAATTTGTGTAAGTTATAAGAGAGTGAGTCAGTAGGTGGCAGGGTCTAATTTTAACCCATGTTTCCAGGCTGTGTTTTATCTTTATTTAGCAATGAATGAAGTTACTTGATTAGGTTCAATGATAGGCCCAAGGTCAATCACACAGTTAATCACAACTGCAAAAGAAGACGACTTCTTTCTGCATTCCCAGTCAGTTGCTCAGAGTGACTCATAATACAAAAATACTTACAAAAACCACAAAAGCAAGCCATTTAAAGAATCAAGGAGAAAGAAAATTAAATACTTCTCCCTACCAAATGTTGAAGTGGGATTTTTAGAAGACTTGGTACTATTTCGGAGTAGCTTGTTAAGAACAAAAGCAAAACAAAACAAAACAAAAACAAGACAAAACACTGAAAATGTCAAAGAATAAAAAAAGCTTCTTGGAGTAGTCATGATTTTGCCATCTATAGCCAAACCTGGTACTGTTTACATGGTTTCATCAGAGCAGTGGGGACTCGGGGAGCCTACAGTGTGCAGCAGGGGTACCTTTAGCCTTCTTGCCCCAGTGCAGAGTGGGACAGGAGATGACCCAGCAGGAACTCAACCCAAAGAGAATCCTTAGTCAGCCTGGAGTTCAGCTTCTACAGTGGTGTGGTACACTGCAAACGGCAAGATAGCAGAGGGGCATCTTTTTGGATGAGATACAATTATAGGTTTTAAAAAGAAATAAAAGTGGCCAAAAATAAGGAAACTAGATATTCTGGAATTGTAGTGTTCTAAAAAGGTATTCAGCTCTTCAGCCCCTTCTCAGAAACCTCGGTGAGCTCATGGATGACTGAAGAGCACTTTTAACATTGTTTTTTTCCTTTGAAATCCGGATTCCTTTAAATTATTGTTGTGTTGTCTAGGTCCTCCCGTACAGTACTGAACACTCACAGGGGTCACTGTCTGTTTCTGACTTTAAGAAGAATTGTTGGAACGATTTTACTATTCAATACTTTTAAATGCATAACTGATACCAGGCAGGATTCTTTGCACTCCTAGTTACTAAGGTTTCTGTTTTCATCTTTGAATTATGGGTGGGTGTTGAGTCTTATCAGTACCTCCACTGAAAAGACTGATCCTTATTGTTTAATCTGTTTATGTGGTGAAGTACACTGGTAGACCTTCTAACATAAAACCATCCTTGATCTTCTGGGATTCAACCTAGTTACATCATGTTGTAATGTTGTTTATTATGCATTCCTGGCTTAAGCTTAAATTTTTTTGGTCAATGTTCACAATAGAAATTGAATCATAAATACTTTCTTGGGGATACTCTGTCTGTCTGGTTTTAATATCAGCTTCTGTTAGCTTTATAAATTGAGGTGAGAATAAATCTTTTTTTTTTTTTTTACTGAATAGTGGGCATAAAATAAGGATTAACTGTCAGTTGAATGCTTGCTGGAAATCCCCAGTAGGATAATCTGGCCTGGAAGGCTTTTTTAAAAAGTAGGCTTTTAATACTTGATTCAACGTTTAGAGATCAAAGATTTGTTCAGATTTTCTATTTTCGCATGAATCAATTTAGATAAATTCTATTTTTTTCTAGGAAATTATTCATTTTATTTGTTTTAAAGTATACTAGCATCGTGCTGGAGATATAGCCCAGTGGCACAGTGCCTGCCTGGCAAATGTGAGGTCCTGTGTTTGTTTTCTGGTACTAAAAAAAAAAAAAAAAAAAAAATTAAAATATACTAGCAGCAAGTATTTCTTAATATTTTGATTTTCAAATTTTATAGTGTATCAGTTTTTAATTCTAGAATTAAGCCTTATCTTTTTTTCTGTTGCCAAAGTTTTGTCTATTCTTCAAAGAGATGACTTTGACATTTTGATTTCAATAGTACCTGTATTCTTTATTATTTCCTTCCTGTTTTAATTCTTTGTGATCTTTTAAATTCTTAATTACTTTTTGATCTTTTTTTCTAATTCTTTAATTTAGATGCATAGGTCATCAATTTTTATTCCTTTGCTTATATATGCATATAAATGTATAGGTTTGCTTTTAGCCAGTCTTTAACCTCTTACTACAATTTTTGAAATGTATTATTTGCATTACCATTCCATTCTGTCTCCTAATCTTCATTACCATTTTTTTTGAGTGACTTAGAAGTATGTCTTATATGTACATTTAATAGTGCATAAAATTGTATTATTTTACTGTTGTTTATTTTTAATTTAATTGTATTGTCCTCAGAGACTATGATACATACAGTACATGCCAAGTTTTCATAAATATTCCATGTACATTTGAGAAGAATGTACACTTACTAATTTGAAAGTTCAGCTTTAGTGAGAGTTCATTAGGTTACACTGTCCTTGTTAATTGTATTATCAGATCTCTTTTGTTACTTTTTAAATCTTATTTCAAACATTTAACAATGAAGTACTTAACCCCTTCCCAGTTCAATTATTTAAATAAGGATGACAAAAACTTGCATAATTTTTTCATTAATTTTAATGAGAAAATATAACAGGAAATATCAAAATGACAATTTTATCAAATATATGCAGAGACTTTTCTGTGTGTGGTATCCCTTTTTTTTTATTTTAAAGAGAGTAGTAAATGAGAAACAAACAAAGAAATAGAACAGTAGCAACATACCAGTGTCACAAACATAAACAAATCAAAGAAGAACACTCAAAGTGATACACAATCTCAAGACAAAATAATACAAATCAACATATAAGGAATTAGAAAAAATCAGGTCCCCCAAATTCAAAGACCCAATCCAAAAATGGGCATCTGAGATGAATACACACTTCTCTAATGAAGAGATGTTAGTGGTGAATAAATACATGAAAAAATGTTCAACGTCATTGAACAGAAATGCATTCAAGAAATGCAAATTAAAACAACACTGAAATTCCATCTCACCCCAGAAAGAATGGCTATCATCAAGAATTCAACCAATAACAAATGCTGGAGAGGCTGTGGGGAGAAAGGAACACTACTCCACTGCTGGTGGGAGTGTAGATTGGTGAAACCACTGTGGAAATCAATTTGGAGATTCCTCACAAAACTAGGATTGGAAGTTCCATTTAACTCAGCTATTCCCCTGCTGGGTATTTCCCCAGAAAAATTAAAGACATCATACCACAGCAATACATGTGCACCCATGTTTATAGCAGCACAATTTGTTATAGATAAATCTTGGAAACAACCCAGATACCCATCCACTGAGGAATGAATAAAAAAGATGTGGTATTTTTATACAATGGAGCATTACTCAGCTATGTGGTATCTCTTAAACCATTTAATACACAATGCAACGTTACAATCTGGACAGTAGTATCTAGTTTCTTTCCTAATTTTTTTGAATTATTGTCTTTCTTTGAACAACACACTACACTGTCATGTTGATCTTTCTTTCTTTTCTGTGGGTAGCATAATTTCAATAAAATGTCTACCCACTAAATGTAGTGGTGAAGATGTCGAAGATGGACACCCTGGTTGGTGTTTCACTGTCCTATATTTTTCAATTATTTGGTCTATTAGGCCTAAACTAAATTGTAAATGCTCTTGCCCTTTTGAAACTCCTGTTTTCAATAAATGACAAATGAGTTCCATATTGTTTGGTTCAGAAGGTGCCTAAATATTTTATAATAATTTTTCCCTTACATTTTGATTAAAGGATAGCTTGTTAAATTTTAGTCAACTATGTCAACACCACCCCTAGAAT